ACATTGACATACGAGCCAAGTTAGAGATACAAGCTTTGAGCAATTAAGGGTTTCCTAGAGAAGTGTTAATGGCAAAATTAAAATATGGAAAATTTTGTTAGTTGTGATAATGATTTTCTTGCCATAGAATTATTTTGCCTGTTTTACGATAGTAAATTATTTTATAGTTGTTCATTTCAATTATATAGGGTGCCCCAGACCTTGACGTCAAACCGAAGCGGGGTGATGGTATTAATCTTAACTGTCCCGAAAAAAATTGGAAAAAAAATCGTCTCGCGTTGTTTGGAAATTACAAGCTTTTAAGTGCAATCCAGAGCTTTGGTATAATTATGACCACTTTTCAGTTATTCTGGTAATTTTTAATTAATTTAAAACACATTTCAACTTTAGAATCATAATCGTGTAATCAATAACATTTTTAGAACCACAAGCAAAAACAATAACACACTGTTTCAAATTTTCAAGAATTATGGTTTTTTGTTCAACTATGAATTTAAAATTTTTAAAATCGGTCGACTTTGGGAGGTTCTTCTATAAAAAAATGACTAAAGTTGGCACATTAATCGGGATTGCAAAATTGTAAAATATGTACTTGAAAATTTTATTATTGAAAATTTTCGAATAAAATAAATTACATGGTTTTTGCTAGTACTTTTTACTCATAATATAGATATGCACTGTGTTTAAATAGAAGGAATTGATAAAGGGTATAACTCTAGCTGAGGGTCTCACAATAATTTATAAGCAGCTTTCTGAGCTCTAAAAGCTTGTGAGTAAAAATCACCCCAAAAAAGTTGAAACAGTTTGATAATAGGAGTTACTCAACGAAACATGTCTAGCTCATTTCCGCAATATGAATAGACAGAAAAAACAGTAATTAAAAAAAATAATAAGTAAACAGTGAATTTATTTTTAATATTGAAAAAACATAACAAAAACGATAGACCAGTAACGAATTAGTGACATTTCGATGTATTTATATGAGGAACATTGCTTTGAGATGCGTATGGTTACGGAACGAATTTAACTCGTATTATATTATATTGCATTATGTACTTATATAATTATACTGATCAGATGTAAGTAAAACGATGCAATTAAAATGAAATCTGTTAAATGCGTGAATGTTTGAAGTTCAGTATTTTAATCGAGTTTATGAGCATAAACAGTATTCGATCGATGCGGCGGCCTCATTACCTAGCTTGTAGCTCTTGATTTCTTGCGTGGCGAATCAATAGGAGTTGGCAAGCTCCATTGTAAACAATACGGCATTTCTAGCAGGCCGTAATGCAGTGCAGTGCTTTTCGATCCTACTTCTGACATGCAGTATTTTATTCACGATACAGTCTCTCGCAATACAATTATTCATACCCTGATTTCTATCATACCACCGAAAAAAGATATTCCAATGTTTAGCTATTCTTTCGTGTATTTAGCATACATTTATTTGTTTAAATCTTGGGGCAATACATCAATTAAAAGTTGTAGAAATTTATTATGATACATATAATCATATGTCATCTTCAGTGGAATGTAAATTAGAAGTTAACTGATAATAGTAATAATAATTCACAGGAATACTGCTACACTATTTCTTGTCAATTCAAATAAAAAAATATTATTTTAGATTGAATTTTTAGTGTTAGGCAAAACATTGCAATTTGTCACAGCTACGATGCAAATATATATATATGAGGAAGAGATAGCATAGCAATTGCTCCAGAATTTTCTTCGAATTATATAAATTTCTAAAAATAATTTATTAGATATATAGAACTAGACTAGAAATTTATAGAGCGTTGCTGATATTCTTGAATATCGAAAAGGTCTTTAATATAAACTTCACAGTTTATATGCCTAGTGTTAAGGCGATCAATCAAATGTAGTATGTAGTCGTATATTTAATGGCAGTACAAAAAAAAAAAACTTCCACTCGTTTCCTGAAATGTAGGTCAATAATCATATCATTAATATTAAATCATATCGCAAGATAGTTAGTTATAGCTACGGTCGTTATCAGTTTTTGTTGACATCCTGTGTTTACATTGTGACACACTATTTTTTATACAACATTCGATGTAAGCACGCAAATTCATAGCACAATCTATACACAGTATACATTAATAGCGGTATTTATAGAGGGTTGTTTGGTCCGGTACGAGCAGCAATCAGTAACGGAATATTTTTTTTTACTAGCTTAGGCCAAACAAATACTGACTATAACTTGATAAAAATAATAGGATATAGAACTAGAATAAATAATTTTTAGGAATCAAATCATCTCAAAAAATGTTATGTATATTTATAATTTTAGGTGTTTTGATGCATATACCATACGAAATGACTATTTTCTGATTTAGATCCATATACTAATGTATCACGTGCCTACACGCATTTTGGCGTAGCATAAGTTTGAAAAAAGTTGTTTAAATACTAACAAAATAAAATTCTGGAAAAAATTAAGGGATTATGGGGAAAAATTTTTCGATAAAATAGAAATATTATGTTATTGTGACACACTATTTTTTATACACATTTCGATGTAAGCACGCAAATTCATAGCACAATCTATACACAGTATACATTAATAGCGGTATTTATAGAGGTTTTTTTGGTCCGGTACGAGCAGCAATCAGTAACGGAATATTTTTTACTAGCTTAGGCCAAACAAATACTGACTATAACTTGATAAAAATAATAGGATATATAACTAGAATAAATAATTTTTAGGAATCTAAATCATCTCAAAAAATGTTATGTATATTTATAATTTTAAGGTTTTGATGCATATACCATACGAAATGACTAATTTTCTGATTTAGATCCATATACTACATGTATCACGTGCCTACACGCATTTTGGCGTAGCATAAGTTTGAAAAAAGTTGTTTAAATACTAACAAAATAAAATTCTGGAAAAAATTAAGGGATTATGGGAAAAATTTTTCGATAAAATAGAAATATTATGTTACGGGTCTAGAATGGTATGAGTTGGTAGCCATGAACTGTTAAAAAGCTATGTATTTGCTGTGCCATCGCACGTTTTACACATAATACCTAACCTCTGAGTCAGAATATTAACTTTATTGAGATTTCACTATGTGTTATTAAAGTCACAACAGAAAGTTGCACCAATGATAAATTATTGATATTTGAGCCATTTGGAGGTTAGGTTTTATGTGTAAAACCACATGATCGCACAGCAAATACATAACTATTTTACAGTTTATCACAAACTCTATTTCTAATTTCTAATTGGCCCCTAAATTTGAAACATAATCCGCCACATGAAAAGCGCCTAGCTTAAATGAATTTATTTAAGAAACAATCATTTCGATTTTTTTTATTTGTTCTATTCAATAATATTCTTAACTAGGAATAATAAGAGTGCAAAGAACTATCGAATGTCCTAAATTGTAAGATTTTTATTGAATTTGAATACAATTTAATTTTTTTAGAACTTAATGTACTTGATATGAAAAGTTATGTGTATTTTTCAATTTATAATCTCTAATTTTATATCAAATGTCAACTTTTCGATCTGTAAACAATATTTAATATAGATCGGAAAGATTCAGCAATTTACCTTAAGGCCAAATGTAATACACCACAAAATTAAATTACTCCTTACGAGTATGCTCGCAAGTAATATAAAGATTTGTGACAGCACTTCTGATCTATCTACGTAATCTCACCTCCAATCCAATCCCACATCTCGAATCTATTTGTCATTGTCACAAATCTCTTATTTTGTCCGAAAAAACTTTAACACTAATCTTAACTAATTTGTATTGCAAATTTAAATTTTTAATAATATGTATTATAAACATAATTATAATAGTGATAAACTTTCAAAATCTTTAAGGAAACCAGTCAAATTGAAGGGTTAGCTGATTACGCAAAAAATGATTATGTATTCGCTTTATTTGAAATATTAGAAAATAGTATTCCAATAGTAAATATAATGGTAACGAAGGGTCTGTGATGCACCAAACTTACGAGGTCTGTTCAAAAAGTACCCGGAATTTTCGTTTTTCCAAAAAAATATTTATTTATTCGTCTACATTAATGTGGTCCCCTTCAAAGTAGTCCCCCCCAGATATAATACACTTATGCCAGCGTTTTTTCCAATTTTCGAAGCACCCTTGATATTCACTTTTTGATATGTCCTTGAGCACTCTCAGCGATTTTCTTCAATCGAGGAAAACCGCCGTCCTTTCATGGGTCTCTTCAACTTTGGAAATAGGAAAAAGTCACACGGAGCCATATCTGGTGAATTTTTGCACTTTGCAACACTTTATTTCATTTTTTACGCAAAATTTAATACAAATTCTTTGACTTTTCAATTCTTCCATTGTAAAAATCGCCGAGCTCAGAAAAACACGTCGAACCTTAGCGACTACCACAGACAAAGTAAACAGTGAATATAGCTGAAAATTTCATCATACTTTAGGGGCATGTATACCAACACAATAAAAAAAATTTTTTGACAATCAGACACTCCAGACCCGCGAAATTTAATTATTAGTAATTCCGGGTACTTTTTGAACACACCTCGTATATTAAAGTATTTTGCGTACAATCAAATTGCTAACAGAAAAGATCACCCCGTCAACATCAAGATTACGAAAAAATTTGCCAAAATGTGTAATAAAATTAGAAGTTGTAATTTTTATATATATATTGTATTGTATTAAAATTACATGCTTTGAATGCATAAAAGACATCCCAATAATATGTAAAAAAATATGTTCAAAAGGTATGATTACCGTGTAGATATCATATTTTCGTTAATTTTTTGTGATATTTAAACAATTTTTACATTTAATTTGTATTCGAAGCTTTTATATTACAATGTTCAAACAAGTTGAGTATAAATTAATATATATTTTTTTAAAAGAAAATACGCATTGCGTTAATTGTAGACGTATTGTGAAGAATGTATTTGATAAATTTGATTTAATTTATTGGTCTTATAAAAAAAAACTATTTTCTTTCAGGTTTCATGTACAGTATGGCGGCGTTTGGGCCTGTGCTAGGTTTTCTACTGGGAGCTTATCTGCTATCATTTCATATGGATTCTTTTTCAACAAATATAATATCGATTGGTGAGTGAAATGTGAAACGTATTTATACAAAAATTTTAATATGAAAAAATATCTTATTCATTTGTTTTTAAATATTTCCGTCATTATGAAATATTTGACGGTAAATGCATTTGTTTTGAATCATTAATTTTGTTTTTCAAATTAAATATGTCTTATGATATGATACTCCGTGTGTAGTTTTTATGGGAAATTATAATTCATAATGAATTTAAGCTTAGAAACGAGTTTAATAGTCTGCAGTAAGTTTGTATTCGCGTTATTGATTAATGATTATAAAAAAGTAATATTTTATTTATTTTTCAGGCCCCGGCGATCATCGATGGGTTGGAATGTGGTGGGGTGGCTTCTTGCTGTGTGGTTTCCTCCTGATATTGGTTGCCATACCCTTTTTCTCCTTCCCTAAGGTTTTAACGCGTGAAAAGGAGAAAATAAAATTTCTAGAAAAGGCACGTGTTGCTAATTCTGGAAATGGGCAAACAACTACGCAGAACAAAACCATGGACAGCGGTTATGGAAAGGATATCAAAGGTATCGATACAAATCATTAATTTTTATTAAACAAAATATAGCAATTTTCATCCATGCTTAGTTATTTATTGTTTAATTCTATTTATATATTGAGTACCTATCAAATCGATAAGTGTCACTTTAGTTTCAGCTATCTTCACATTTTCTAGACGCTGATAATTTTAATATCACTCTTAAATTAAAAAATTAAAATGTGCGTTTGTGAATTTAGGACGCGTTTGGAAGCAACTATATTTTAGGCTAGTTTTATGGAATTAGGAAGCCACTGTTTTGATTTCTTTTAAATCTCGACGATTTTTAAACTGTATTTTAAAGTCTCAAAAAGAGAAGATCCTACGATGAATTATCATTTTCTAGATAAATTTCAAAATGATTTTAAGTATAATAGACACTGTATTATAATAAAAATGATATGAATATGCATATGTCAAACAGTCATACGTCCTCTTTTTACACTTTTTGATCAGATATTCTTTGCACTGTCAAATCGATTAAATGAACAATTTGAATCGATAATTTGTTCCATCGAAATGTTTACTAAACTACATAATTATAACACAACCAACTTTTTAAAGGTTTGTCAAAACGATAAGTTTTTTCTGCAACGGGCAAAGAGCACATTGAAAACTTAAAGTGAACTAATAATTGACGTATAATTAATTATGTATCTTATTTTTTTCAGATATTCCAAATTCTATGTGGAGATTAGTGTGTAATCCCGTGTATGTTGTCACGTGCTTGGGAGCATGTATGGAATTGATTATAGTATCGGGCTTTGTAGTCTTCTTGCCTAAATATTTAGAGACGCAATTCAGTTTGGGAAAGAGTCAAGCTAGTGTTTTCACAGGTAATTCAGAATTATTATAAAATATTGCTTTATTTGAAGATTTTGAGCCATTTGTTTAGTCATTTACATATATTTCAACTGGTACTTGCAACAAAATTTCTGTAGTAGTAAAATATTATTATATTTAATTATATTTAACTTCTTGACACATTTTGATAATTTTGCTTCATATCTTCTATAATTATCTCTGACACAGATCCTACATAATAAATAAATGGCGTACAGTCACTATACTATTGATCAGAAACTGGCATGCACAGTTTTATATAAAGCATATAAACATTATCAAAAAACTAACATTCAAGGACTTCGAGTTATAATTCCTAAATTAACTGGTCGAATTAGATTATTTCAGTTTTTTCTTAAATAGATCTAATTATACATTGTTCTGATAGTTAATAACAGAGTACATTATAATTTTTCAGGCTCAATAGCTATACCAGGAGCTTGCATAGGAATTTTCATGGGTGGATGTTTACTGAAACGATTAGAACTCAGACCAAAGGGCGCTGTGCAATTTGTTTTAATTTCTAATTTTATTTGTCTTCTATGTTATGGTTTGTTATTCTTTTTGGGTTGCGATAATGTTAAGATGGCCGGAACTACCATACCATATTATAACAAGTAAGTTTACAGAATATTATATACACATATATATATATATATATATATATATATATATATATATTATACTATAATATCTTATATGATATTAGAATTTTACTAGAAATACGATTTAGTAAAGTTTAAAGTTACGTTCTGTTACATGATATACCAGGTAACTATCATACAAATGTTGTATTCACTCAGCAACTTATGCCTTATATGAGAGTTAGGATACTACTCTAGATATATTTTTTCAACTATCTTAGAAGAGTTTGTATATAACACTTGTGTCTTTCACACCACTGTCAACTTTTTAGAGCATTGATACAAATTTCTTTCAAAATCAAAAAATAAACCAACTCTGCATGCGAAAATTGTAACGATAGCGCGTCCTTGAACACAACTTGTATATGTAAACCACAAGATGTAATAACTAAAATTGCGTAATAACTGCATCATTACACGTGACTGCTATGTAACCTGGAAGGTTCTTACCAGTAACTATTTCGAACGTACTGCATTGTTTTGACGCAGAAATATGTTAGTGTTTCGTTCTTGGAAAGTTCCTAAACCAAATTATAATTAAATTGGATGTTATAAAAACCTGATCCTATATTTAAATATCAATAAATATTGGAACAAGTATTGACAAATTCTTATTTCTATTTCTTATTTTAGTACCGCACCGCTGGAGCCGTTCCGTGTGAATCTTACTGCGGCTTGCAACTTTGGTTGTGAGTGCCGGATGACCGACGTAGAACCGGTTTGCGGAAACAATGGTTTAACTTATTTTAGCCCTTGTCATGCAGGATGCACTGCCTTTTCTTCAAGGTCAAACTACACCAATTGTGCCTGTAAGTTGAAATTCTTACGATTACTTGGCTCTTTGCCTTGAATTTGGACATCGTCCTCCTTCTTACTTAAAGATTTAAAGAAAACTATGTGTCAGTGTCGCAAACTCTAAAATTCAAAGTAAATTTTAATGAACCATATTAAAATGCAGAACAAGGAATACAGTGATACCCTGACATACAAGTAATTCGTTCTTTAACCACGCTCGTATGTCGACTCGCTTATATCTCGAAGCATTTCCTCCTATATACATGCATTCAAATTCCATTAATTTGTTTCAGCATTGTAAAAAAATCACAAAAATTTACTTTATTTATTTAAATTAGTTACGCTCGTACATTCTCTCCATCCTCATATCTTAAAATGATTTCATGCTTTAATTCAAGAGAGGTTTCAAGTCATTCAAGTGATTTTTTTTTTAACTTGTTGTTATGAAAGTAAATATTTTGTAAATGTACAAACAGTAGAAAAAGCAAACTCAACATATATAACTGTACTGCAAATACTGATGCCAAAATATTTCTATGATTGGAGAGAGAGTTGTAATCATTGTTACATCTGACGAAACATTCATCAGGTCACTCGTAAGTAGGGGTACCACTGTATATACATTTTTTTAAAAACTTGCTAAACACTAAATAGATAAAGTTGTACATATATTTATATCTTAAATTCTCCAGTAAGATTTTAATCGTTATTTTTACAGGCATACACAGCAACCTGACAGCCTTGGCTGCCGGCTTGACTTCGCCTAATACTGGAGACGAATTCGCCGAGGTCACTGTAGTACCAGTAGCGACAGCTGGTCCTTGTTCCTCGCCATGTAGAACTATATATCCATTCTTAATTCTGCTTTTCTTCATGACTTTCATTGTGGCAGTCACGCAAATGCCTTTGCTCATGATAGTTTTAAGGTAAGCTAATACGATAGTGGATTTATATAGTTAACGTTTGTGTTGAAACAATCAGTGTCCAAAATTATAAAATTTCCACCTTCCAAATTTGTTCAGATGTGAAACGCGAACTGTAGTTTTTTCTATTTTAATTATATCTGTTAATATAAATTATTACATTTAAATTTACAAAAACTATTATTTTCAGGTCTGTGAGCGAAGAAGAAAGATCATTTGCACTTGGTATGCAATTCGTAATTTTTAGATTGTTCGGCTATATCCCTGCTCCAATATTATTTGGAAATTTAATTGACTCCACATGCATTCTCTGGAAATCTACATGTGGCGAAACGGGCGGTCGATGCTTATTGTACGATATAGAACAATTCAGATACAGGTACGTTAAATAAAAAATGCAATGCAATTAAACTATTTTATTAAAATCATGCACTCACTAAATTTGCAAACATGATTTAATTAATTTAATAATTCTTTTTAATTTTGTTACATTTTATTTTTCAGATATGTGGGGTTGTGTGCAGGAATCAAGATTGTAGCCCTTGCGATCTTCATGTTTGATTGGTACTTAGTCAGGAGACGCAAGAATTTAGATGAAGCCCGACCAGTGACTACTAACGACTTAGTAGGATCGATAATTAGTCTCGATAAATGTGAGTTGAATAAATAATATAAGATTATTAACATTATAGGTTGGTCATTAGTTTACACAATTCTATGAACTGTTGCATTACACTGTCGCTTTGAGTTTTTAATCTATTTTGAAGCCATGTTTTTTATGCACATTATCACCTTCACCACTGAATGATTATCATAAACACATATTTATAGAGTACTTTATACTTGACACTTTTGATTATTGCATTAAAGTATATTTTAATCTTGTTATTGCTCTGTTCATCTATCAAACTTGTTTTTTCTAAACTCAAAAGAAAGAAGCTATTATAATTGAAGGTCCTGTGGCCAAAAAATGCGCTTTTTAAAGCTGTTTTGTTGTAAGAATTTTTCAAGACATTTAATTGATTATTTTAGTGTTTGAAGAAAAACCTTCCGTGGATAATCAAGGTCTACCACCTTACACTCCAGAAAATATTTTAAGACCATCTGAAACCAAAACTCCATCACAGAATGTAGAGAGCAATCAGAAAGTCCTAACTGCCACTAAACATCTCAGGAATGATTCAAAGACAATACAATTAGAATTGCGTCATCAGCATCCTGACACGAATGACTTAGAAGTTGAAATGACAATATTGGAAGATGGACAAATGGTTTTGCGTCACCGCAGAGCAAATTCAAATGATTTGAAAATGGTGACAAACCATTCTCGAAACAACTCTCGCGATTTGAGTAAGATTAATATACTTGGCAGGCCTCCTAGAGATATCAAGGCTATAGATTATGAAATGCTAGCTAGTCGTAGACACAGCACAAAAGATCTAGAAATGATGAAGAATCGTGACAATGAATATAGAAGTAAGAGCACAACGCACTCCAGAAATAATTCAAAAGACATGAGATTAGAGTTTGACCCCAAACACAGAAGAACCACTTCTCAGCACATTCAAATTGAAAACTATGATATGCGGCCCGAAGAATCACAGTTGATACCAAATATAAACTTTTTAAGTAATGCATGAATAGAATAATTTTGTTTTTAATAATTTTTGGCCTGATTTTTTTTAGTTTAATTTAGCAGAAATATTATTTGCATTTGAACATGCTTCTGTGTCTATGTGGTATACATCACAAATCAATATGTGAGTTTTATGTGTGTACATATCTGAACAAGTTTGAACAATATGCCATTTATTTGAGCCTAGTTTAATTCACTGTATTATAGAAGTGTTCATATGTCAAATGGTTTTTAATTATTATGATTAGCAAATAATCTTTATTAATAGATATTATTTTGTTTTGTTTTGAAGTGATTGTACTTATTATTAGTGTAAGGTCTTAGAATAACGAACTAAATATTTAATGCAACAAAGTTATAGTGACATGATTTTAAATATCTCATTGATTTGTCTTTATAATTTGTAGTTATCTTCTCTCTATTTTCTACAATTTATTTTTAATGCAAAGTTGACTATTTATAATTTAAAATTATGCTCATAACTGCTATTTTGGATAAAAATGAAAATTATTTGTCGAACGTCATTTCTTAAATGATATTGTAAAACTGGAGTTATTATGTTAAGAAATTAACTTTAAGTTTGTAATTTGATGCTGGTGTCACCATAGAACAAAATGATATATTTATAAATGAAATCCTATTTTTAATTGAGCATAAAATTTAGGCAATTGTCACGACCGATTTTCAAAAGTATACTGTCCAGTAGAAAAGTATTGAGATTGTTGTGTGAGTGCAGCGGCCTTTGCATGACATTTTATTATATTATACATCTAACTTCATAATCGTCTGCCTCATATTAATGCCTGTCAAATCTTCTTGAAAATTTTAAAAAATGTGATAGACCAATTATGTAGTTCTTATATAATTAAGACAAGTTTTAAGAATATTCAAGACCACTTCCTAATTTAATTGGATTAGCGCAAGCTGTGTTACGTGCTGTGAAAAGTAATAAGCAATTTTCTGTATTTTGTGGGGGATAGATGCAATGTAATCTGAATTTATTAAGAGGATATATTATCTGTAAATATTTATATAAGTTAGTTCTAGAAATAATTGTTTGTGTGTGTGTTGATGCAATATCTATATGCATCACAATGATACAAATATAAACAATATATTTATAATAGGATTAAGTAGTACTCATTCCTAATTTATAGTTTTTATTTTTATATTACTTGAGTTAATGTAATTAATTAGATGTATATAAATTATGAGTAAATTTGTAGTAGCGAGTGAGCGTTTTGCACCCTTTTTTGTGAACATTTTACAAATGTGTACATTTTGAACTTAGAATATCACATCAGACCTGGTTTTAGTGACGGCAGGGATGATATATTTGAATTATTTACAGTGGGTGTTATTTGGCTTGAAATTTTCAATTGACAAATAATTTGAATAATTAATTTGTGTTAAACTTTGTAATAATTGTAATTTTGATGGTACATGAAAATAATCATAAAATTACTGTAAAATTACTTTTTAGCTTAGTTTTATAAGCTCGGAATACATAATTTACCGCATAATATTGCATCGAGTAACTCACATATAGATATTCAACTATGTATTATTTTCAATAAGTTTGCTTATATTAATTTCAGTTTATGTTTTGGAACAGCATTTGCCCACTGTAAATCGTTTACTGATAAATCTTACATTATAAATTTAAACACATTCCTACAATTTAATACATATGAATAATAGGATGGATATTTAGATACATTGAGTTTTAGAGAGTCACCAATCGATCTGATTTTTTCTTGTTAAAATATTCTTCAATCAGTATATATTATTATTATTATTATTATTATTATTATATATAAACACCGTGAGAAATTGTATTTGTAAAGCACTGCTATGCAAAATACTCCCTGCAGTAAGCAGCATTCCCAACATATCAAGATAAGCAGCTGTGCTATATTTAAATTTTATTTTAATCAATTAATAACTAACATATTCATTTGAAACACTATAAATTTACTGGAAAAATGTATTTAATTTTTATTTCTACACTGGATTTATATATATTAATGTTTAGTAAATGAAACCTCTGATTTCTTTTCTTCCTATATGTCAATATGTAATTACAAAAGTAGATGTTTGTTAGGAGAGCATTATATATCAGAGTAGTCAATTAAATAAAAATAATATATTGTTCATTAAGTATGTTGCACATCACATATATCAGAATGCCTTACAAACACTTAGATGGAATGGATTTGAAGTGTCTAAAATGTTTGCAAAATTTCGATTTTTAAGCTGTTTTAGTCTTAGTATGTTTGAGAAATTGCTCAAATTACAAAAGTAATATATATTGCATTCAAATGCGTCAAAATATAATCATCGATAGAGTAGATTATATAGATAAAGGACACATGACCTATTTTTGAATTAACGGTGATTATTAATTGTAATTTTCAAAATTGTTATTATAACTTTGTTACCGAATGCGTTTCGAAAGAATGCTCTAATGATTATATATATATATATATATATATATATATATATATATATATATATATATAAATACATAAATACACTGACTCATGCTCTTTTCACATGTGGTAAAATGTTACTATAAAGCATAATATTAATGATTGAATATACAAAATAAATTATTTGTCATATATTTATTATTGTTTCATTGAAGTTTTATTAACCCTCCGTCGGTCGGATATTTTTTCACCTTCGAACGGTCGGAAAGGTCTGGCTGGACCACCATTCATTTTACATGCATTTATATGGGATAAATGAGTTTTTGGTGTTTTATATATTAACGATTATTAGTAGTAAATATTTATAGTTTTGATTTTTTCTTTTTCTTACCGTCTTTTGCATGTGTTGAGCTTGCTTATAATAAAAATATTACATATTATATTATATAAAAAAAATCAAGAAATATAAAAAAAATCGTTGCTTTTGTTTTATATCAATGGAAAACAATATTTATTCTTTTTCGGCGTCTTTGAAATGAATGTGAAATTCAAATGAAAACGTAAGGAGGTGCGTCGCCTTTGAAATGAGCTGTAAAACTCAAAGTGAAAATATAATTTCACTTTTTAATTTAAAAATTGTTGATAATGTGTGCATTACTCATCCGATTTTCAGTGTTTGCGATTACCAATAAGTTTGGTAGGTTTTCAAGGAACTCTCGTCATGAAAATACTAACGTTCATGTTACAACACATAGCGAAGAATATATAAAACGCAGTTTGAATAGAAAATACCATGAAAAAAGACAAAATACTGGTTTACATATATCAAAAAGCGTATATTTCATACAAAATGTATGGGTGGTCTAGACAGACGTTTCCGACCGTTCGAAGTATAAAAAAGTTAATATCATTATAATTATCCTTCTGTACATTTTTTCGTCCAGATGTTTTCATTGATCGACAGCTAATGAAATTTCTTGACTAGGATTACAAGAAGTATTTTTTTTTAATTGAAGTTGAAAAAAGTCTGGCCAGACCACGCCGACCGATGGGTTAAGTATATAAGGCGGAATAAATCTATTACTTGAATTTACATTTTTATTATAATTCATTTGCAGTGGCGGCGCTAGACCACGCATGGACGTCGGAAAAATTGGAGGTTTTTTAGGCCTCCCCTTTCACTCATTATCAATTGAAAAAATGTCAGAATGCGTAAACCAAAATATAGTTCAACTAATTACAACAATTAGGAAAATTACACAGATTTCAAATAATTAACAACTTTGCGAAGCTCCCGAATACGCGAGGCCGTCGACAGTCGCCGTCACGTAACGTTGCATCTGTACATTAATTTTCATTTTTCAGCCTGGTTAAGTTAGGTTATTCTACAACTACAACTCATATATCATTCAAAAATTGTTATAATAGTTTATATTTCAAGGAGGAGTCTATAATGTATACGATAGGTCAATCATTTCGAAATTTTGATTGTGCTCTTGGAAGGAAAGATATCCTGCGATGACCTTTCCAACCTGAACAATAACAATTAACCAGTTAACATCATATTAAATTCATTTGTGTCAAAGTTTGCATTTTTCACTGCACAGCTGATTGGCAGATCTATCATCACATTGATGGATGTTGGTTAATTCGGTATATACGAGTGAAAACCAGGATTACTATTGTGATTAAACCTGTTGAATAGTTATATTTCATTCAGAGGTATTTTTGGAATAATACTGTATTATTATACAGAAATGTTTTCTAACTTTTATTTCTTATTCTTATTTTACTCTATAGTGCAGCATTTTCCAACCAGTGGAGCGCGCCCTCTCAGGGGGGCACTAGGCTGTTCTTGGAGGGGGCGCGTACATATGTTTCCAGAATACTATTATCGAAAATAACTGATATTAAAAAAGAACCAACAATAATTAGTTTTATGCATATTTTACATAATACTCCTAATAGTAAACACCGGGCGGCGGTTGCAATCTGAAGTCCACATTGATTATACATGAGTGTCACAGCGCCGAAGGAATGCTTGTGGATTTCAGGTTGCTGCCGACGCTCACGTCACACGGTGTTTACTGGGTTGCATATTAATTTGTTGTCCGATGAAATCAGTTGAGTATTTAAAATTAAACTGTTGAAAAAAATAAGGAGGGCGCAACATTTTTTTTTATTAGAGCAGGGGAGCGCGGTGCAAAAAAAGGTTGGAACCCACTGCTATAGTGGATATATTGGGGAGAATAGTTACAGCTAAATGATCTGACCATCGCTCGACCTGGTTGATGACCTTTCAGGCGACAATATCCATTGCAGACACAGATATACGCGTATAATACACTAAATCCGCCTCCAACATGGTCAACTAGAACTTATATAATATTAACCTTGAAATAGTAGTTCAAAATTATAACTGTAAATCAATAATGCTTTCAGATCGTCTTTTCGTTTTTTAATTATCGAGGGCTTGTTTGCAGCTCAAGTGATAAAAGCTTTGGTCTTGCAACCGCAACGTTCCAGATTTTGTTTCTGATTCGGGGTACCTTATATCAAACAGTTGTGATATCAGTTTCTAATTAAAAATATTATTTCACGTGAAACTAGTCTTATGAGACATTAAATAATTAAATTTCGTTCGAAAGCCACTGGGTTGCCTTCTGATAAGGCAAGGTTATGAGGAATTACATCACACCAGCTTATAGAACAATTCCGGATGTAAGTATATTATGTATGATGTATATGACATATGATGTACTAGTGCTAGTGGGCAAGTATATTATTTTTACAGAGAGCTGATGCTTCTGAGATTGATATCTTTGGTCTGTCTGTGAGTAATATAAAAAATCAAACCAGAAAAAGTACCCTTAAATGACTGTTTTAAGTAGTGATTTATAGTTTATTAAATGTTTAATATTATTAGTTTTTCTTTAGTGTTATATATTTGTAGTTTATATTAAGTGTTATGTAGATATACGAAGCTATCTATGAACTCTTAATAATCTATTTTTTTCATATATTATCTTTAGTTTATAATTTGTACACTTTAAAATGTAATTATATTGTATTATTGCCATGGGGGTTGAATAAATAAATAAATAAATATTTGTTGTGTATTTATTTAAAGTTTCTAACATTTCAAAAGTTTTTATATTGACAATGTTCTTGTAAACAAATATTTTAATAATTGATTTATATATTTAATATTTGTATTTCGTGATTCTAAAGCATACATGACGCTTGAGAACCTTTATGTGATATCATAACTGTACATTTGAAATGCTTTATCGCTTTGACATCAAATAAATGTGAAATAATTTATTTCTGCACGATTTATGAATATTCGTTCATCAATTAAAATTAATTGAATGATGATAGCAATAATATATTTTATTAAATTGACATTATTATGGTGTCAACATAATAAAACAACTGCAAAATATTGTGACCAAAATAAATTTCGAATAAAATTAAAAAAAAAATTAAACTTTATACGTCAATATCATCAATTATTAGATGCAGTAGTTTGCAAATAGATTTTATGATTCACTTGGAAATAGAAACAATTCAATAACTGAATTTGATGCGCAGATATGAATCAGACTATAAAAGCTTGTGCAATAATTTTTTATTGGAACATTAAAACCAAAACTTTGAAGTCTGACTTTTTTGTTTTTAACTACGGCCGCAAGTGTTGTCTTAATACATTTATCAATAAATTTAATAAAAGTAATAAAACTTTTTAAATGTAAAAAATAACAAGTAAAATTTACAGATTTTTCACGAATTATTCGAGAATTAACTGCTTCTACATATTAATGAAAATTTTAAATTTCTTTCTAAATTGTGGTATCAATTGTGGTTTTATCAATATAGTTGTCAGAAATTCGAGGTACATTGAAACAGATAAAAATTTACATGAGCAACATAGAATATTTATTTATTTTTTAAATCTGGGTTCAGACTCATAAAACAAAGGTATTAAATAAAAATAATCAAATAATTTATCAAAAATATATATATAAAAGTAATATTTTGAATTAAATAACTATATATCACTTTATGTGGTGCTGGAGACGAATGGAGAAATAAAGTGGACAAATAAGGTACTGAATAAAGAAGTATTGAGAAGAGTGGGCAAAGTAAGAATTCCACCGATAGTCCAGTCATTTAAGCTTAAATTAGGTAAGAATCTTGGAATTTGACATACCCAGCTGTAAGTCTCTAAATACTTGTATTTTGCACCCTAAAAGTTGTCTCACAACCTACATATGTTTCGTACACTCTACCATATGTATTTACAAGTATTTACAGACTTGCAGCTAGGTATCTCGAATTCCGAGGTGAACTTACTATAATGACTGGACTATGGGGACGATCCTAGAAAGAAAAGGAAACTGGATCAGACCCATTCCGCCATAAGACGTCATCGACATCTACACGACGTCGTCGCAAGTAAAATAAAAGAACTGAAAGATCAAGGAAAAAGAAGAATGCAGATGGTTGATAACTTACACGAAAAAAGAAAATACAGGAAACTGAAAGCCGAAGCACAAGACCAAGAAGCATGAAAGCAGAAATTTGGAAAGAAAAATGCATAAAATGAATAAAAAGTGATTAATGGTCAATAATTATTGGCAATAAAACGGTAAAGGAAATAATAAACAAGTAAGTGAAAAAAAATAAATTAACTTGCGGTTCTCTCATACCATGGACCTGCCTTTGGGTAGATAATATATTTATTATTAACTTCCCGTAGGGTAAGTTATTGTAATGGGCCGAAAATCGAAATTGAAAATTTTTACATTTCTCAACGTTTTGAAGGTTTCTGAACGATTTGGCATACCTCAGAAAAAATGCATGTGTGTTTGTATGTATGTATGGATACAATTTTTCGTCCACGTTTTCGAGCGCACAGATCAATCGATTTGAATGGTTAAAAAAACATTCGATTCCTATTGATAGGGAGATGTGCTGATTAGTTTTTGGCAAAGGCAGGTCCAGCCGTTACGGAGATACGGAGCAAAGAGTACAGAACGGAGCATCCGATTTGAATGATCTAAAAAACATTCAATTAGTAATGATTGGGAGAAGTGATTATTAGTTTTTGGCAATGGTATTTTGCCATTTGGAAGATACAGAGGTAAATGTGAAAAAAATGGCAGTTTTTGAGGGAACTAAGCGTCCAATTGAAATGATTCAAAGAACTTTCAGCTTGTTTTAACAAAATAATTGATTTTGGGGAAAAAAATTGTATCAAAAGTAAGTTTTTTTTTTAGTTTTTTTTTGTACATCGAAAATAATTCAGATTTTATTTTTAATTCTGACTAAAGTTCTAATATACTTTAAAACAAATAATTTTAAGTTTGCAATTCAGTTTATATAATTCTTATAAATATTAGACAATGTTACAATATTTTTAATAATCTATTTGATAACATTCAGCATTCCTCGAACATTTCGTTACGGTACGGGAAGTTCCAGCAATTTGCCTTAAGGCACGATGCCATACACCCCACTAGTTATAATATGACTTTATATTATTATTTTAACTAAGAAATATATTTATGACCTAATCCTAATAAAATTATGTAATTTAAAATTATAAAAAATAGTGAAACTACAAAGTAAATGAAATACAATAAATTTATACATTTGTGTAATGTATTTGTGTAAAATAAATTGTTAATTTTTATTAAGTTAATATTATTATCATATTGCTTTATATTATTATATTAACTAAGAAATATATTTATGATCTAATCCTAATAAAATTTTGTCATTTAAACTATAAAGTAGTTGAAATACAATAAATTTATACATTTGTGTAAATATTATAAAATAAATTGTTAATTTTTATTAAGTTAATATTATTATCATATTGCTTTATATTATTATATTAACTAAGAAACATATTTATGACCTAATCCTAATAAATTTTTGTCATTTAAAACTATAAAGTAGTTGAAATACAATAAATTTATACATTTGTGTAAATATTATAAAATAAATTGTTAATTTTAATTCATTTGTATTATTATTATCAAAGTACATAATCTTACTATTGAGCTAAAATGAAAAAATGCAAATAAAGACACAATACAAATACGACGAACCGAGCGTGTCGAATAATTGAAATCAAACTTTGTCATCGTCCGCGCGCATAACTTTGAGAATCTGTGGCCCGAGCAGAATGCTACATCAGCCATTTTGAATACGAGAACTTCACTTCAGTTCATTACGAACCTGCATTGTGTGTGGTGTCAGTTGAATGTGCTGTGCTAGTTTTGTTCATTTTGTACGGAATATAACCGTTCCAATTTTATTCAATGTGTATGGCTATAGTGGTGAGTTATTGTTCATTTACCAACAATTTAATTATGTTCTAAAATATTATTTCTAATGCTCCCTGTCAATATATTAAACGTCACTATCGAGTAAGGTTAGAATCTTCGTATGTGTATGGCATTCAGAACCGAACGACCAAAATTAGTTGTTTGCTACGAGTTGTAACAAAATTTAGTGTGTGTTCCTTTATTATGAATTAATTGATGTATTAAAGTTATTTTAAAATACTACGCCAACCGCGCCCTATCAGATTTAGTGTAACAAATTACAGTCCTTAAGGCACACCCTTCGAAATCTTATGTGAAAACGTTGCCTTTTTTGTAAATCCAAACAATTTGGGAAGAAATTTTGTTATATTTTACGGTTTTTTATGTGACCTATATAGATATTTTTCAGAAACATCTGACATGTGTTTGTGCATGTCAAATGCTTGGCATTTTTACTACATACTGTAAAACCACAAATAGAACAAATTTCTTTTTATTGTTTTTGCAATAAATTTTATTTTTTGATAAATCATGTGTCATTTGATACAGATAGGGTGCAATTTTGACAGAATAATTAGTAGAATTATCATAGGTTCTTGCAAGTGTTAGCTTCGTTTTCATTTTTATTTAATACGTTAATTGCCACGATAATATTAAAAAAAACACAAAATGTAACAAAAAAAGCTTAATGAATCAAAGAAAAACTAGTGGTGTATGGCATCGTGCCTTAAGACTAATTGCTGAAACTTCCCACACCGTGACGAAATGTTCGAGGAATATTAAATGTTTTGAAATAGATTATTATGTATATTGTAACACTGTCTAATATTTATAAAAATTATATAAACGTAATTACAAAGTTCAAAATTATTTGTTTAAAGTATATTAAAACTTTAGTTAGAATTAAAATTAGAATCTGAATTATTTTCGATATACAAAAAAAAAATTAATTTTTTTGAAAAAAAAATTTTTTTGAAAAAAAAATTGAAACAAAAAATTTTTTTTACAAAAGCAATTCTTTTGTTAAAACAAGTAAAAAGTTTTTTGAACCATTCAAATCGGACGCTTATTTATCTCAAAAACTGTAATTTTTTGCACAATTAGCTCTGTATCTTCAAAATGGCTGGACCTGCCTTTGCCAAAAACTAATCACTCCTTCTCCCAATCATTGCAAATTGAATATTTTTTAGATAATTCAAATCGAATACTCCGTTCTCTCAAAAACTCGATCTTTATTTTCTGCACTCTTTGCTCCATATCTCCATAACGGCTGGACCTGCCTTTGCCAAAAAGTAATCAGCACATCTCCCTATCAATAGAAATCGAATATTTTTTTGAACCATTCAAATCGGTTGATCCTTGCGCCCGAAAACGTGGACGAAAAATGCAGACATACAAAACACACACACATCCATTTTTTTTGAGGTATGCCAAAATGTTCAGAAACATTCAAAACGTGAAGAAATGCAAAACATTTCATTTTCGATTAGAGTTAAAAATTGCCAAAATTTCTTGAAAAACCCTATTTTTTGTCACATAAATATGACTGACATGGCCCTACCTCTCCTTCTACCAAATCGCGTATGTCAAAGATATAAGACTGACATTGCTATTAACTTGTTATTTATATATATATTATATATATATATATATATATATATATATATATAATTGTACATTATCATTGCCATTTATTTCATTGAATGGATCTATAATTGTATTCTGTGAATGCGTCAGCTGAATTCTAGGACATAATGTTTCTTTTGTTAAAATTGAACGATTTCTGGGAACGTTGTATCTATCTGTCATGGCAAACAATCATTTGTGCAGGAAGGCTTGACATGATTTTTGCAGGAACCAATTTGATAAAACATTATTTTAAACGTGTCATAGATAACATGATACATATATAAATTTCACCTATACGCATAAGTATGAATATATTTAAATTTTGCACTTGGGTAAAAATATGCACATGGTCGCCTACTTTAGATCCTTTGTATGCGCGAATGCATATGCACATGAACATCCCACCAAGGTAGGGGAGACTGGGTACGGTAGTGACAGTTGTATAATAGATAAACTATAATGATTTTGAGATAGGATGCATAGTGAGAAAGATTAAGTATGATTGTTCGAACAAGTTTTCATTATTGTTTTCAGTCAGTGCATTACATTAACATGAACATTGCTTTTAAAGAGTCAAGAGTAAGTTTTCATATTCAAATTATTTTAATAACTGTTAATTCTGCACAGATGGATCACTTTGTTATTTTGCTGTAAGTTGAACATTAGTAGTTATTTACCAGCAATTATTTTTTGCTTGCAATTAAATAATTTATCCCAGTCATAATGATGATTTGTTTTCAAAAATGCGAAAAAAATCTTTTGGGTACGGTTGTGACTTGTGTTTTTTGTCCCTTTCGGGTGAAGATTATACAGATTAAAAAATCTAACTTAACAGAGACAAAATATCAAAGAGAAATGAA